CTAACAAACAAGCAAGCTAGCAAGCCAACAAACAAGTGAGTAAACAAGTGAGCAAGCAAAGGAGTTATGGCCACCCAGCCCACTCCCTGCTTATGTACCGAGCATGTGCTATGGAAGGAAATGCCCCTTCAGTCAGTTTGGGTCAGCTGTCTGAACTGTGTGTCCCTCACACTGCTTGTAGTGAGAAAGTTGGGAATGCAGCTGCAGTATCAGCACCTGGGACAGACCTTGAATTTGGTGCGAGCAGTCCCCAGCACCAGCTAAAAAGACACCTTATTGGTACTTTTCTTGGGGTAAATCCAAACATACAGCCTCATACCAGCCACTGTGGAGCTCCAAAGGGGATGGCACCCCTGGTACCACCCTTAACATGCACTGGGCATGCACATGGAGGGCAAAAAGTGGTGACACCAAAGCCAAGGTGTCTACAGGAAAAAGGCCTGGGCTGCCCTGGTGCAAAAAAAAAGGATGGGTGCCCGCGGTGGTGTGGTTCTTCTCACCTGTTTTGGTTGCCAGCGCCAGGCCAAGGTGTGCTTGCCCTTTCCGTGCCTGCTCCTCCCAGCAGACTCACACATAGTTGAGGTGAGCCCAGGCAGATTCACACATAGTTGTGCTTATATGAAGAGTTAGCCGAGCTGAAGCCTGTCTGAAGCACGCTTGGCCTGCTAGCGGTCAGAATTCCAGGTGATGGGCCTCGAGTGCAGGCCCTGATATCCATGGAAGGCAGCAGGGATGGAAGGAGGTTTGGCTGCGGACTGAGGGATTTTTAATCTACTATGGAGCTGGCAGAGTCCTCGCACCACACAGAAAGGTTTGAGGAGTCTTTAGTCTGAGTAGGAAGGGTAGTGCTCCATGGTTTTAGTGGGTTTTTTTGGTGTCTCAGAAATGCTATATTTGTGCCTTAAGGATCAGTACCGCAAACCTTTGGTTTCTCTGTTCATGATTTGAGAAAGAGTAAACTCTCCCGCTCAACTCACCCTGTAAAAAAAAAAAGAGCATTTCTCAAGGGTGAGAAGGCATGAAATCAAAGGATCTAGCCGATGGCTAGTGTCTGCCTGTACCGGCAATGCAGCTTGCCTGGCTTGTGCCCTGGGATGGCCAGCTTCAGCCGGCGTTTCCTCACTAAAAGGCATCTCGGCTGGTTTGCCCTGCCTAAAACGGACCTAACCCAGCAGCGTGTTTTCACACCCGGCTCCAAAGTCCATGCCACATGCCGCTCCTCCGCACTCCAGCCCCTTCCCAAAGCCAGCACCAACGGGACCATCAGGTCAGGCAGCTCTTGCAGCAGAAAACAACCCTTTTTTGGATATTTTCGGCATCAGGAGGGATCCTTCAGGAGGCAAGGGCTGCATAGGAGAGCAGAGGCCACCCCATCCCTCAACTCTTTGCCCTTCAGTCAGCCTCAGCAGACCTTGGATGGCTTCAGTAAGGTCTCTATACCTTACGGCTTGCTTCCTCCCTTCTCACACCATGGGCTGGCCTTCCGACTTGGGCTTTCCCTGAAGCTGCTATGGAAGAAATAGCTGGAAATTCGAAATACTGTGCCAGCTCTCGTGAGGCCCCCACGCTCCAATAACTCTAGCGGGAATCTAAAGCAAGAGATGGCTTTAAGCACAGTACTCGCAGTTAGGTGGGATGAACCCAAGCCCAGCAAATTCAAGGACTTCTCCCCAGTACTGCACTGGAGGTCTGAACTTTGAACTGAACACCACATCCAGTGACGTACCAGTATGATCTGCCCCTTGGTTTTGCCTTAACTTTCACAACTTTTACAGGTGGGAGCAATGACTTCTTTTGCCAGTCTAATCATTTCCAGCATGGCTCTGCCCATTTAAAATGCGATTCCTTCCATTCTTTTGCTGCATCTGTGGTTTAGAAGGATGACACTTCAAGTAAGAAAATCCATGGTACATCTGAGCCATGCGCACCTGAACCTTGCAACCCCAAAGCTCACCTAATTTTCCATAACCTCCCTCCTGATTTCCAAGGCAAGCTGGAGAGTCCAAGCAGTTATATTTGCCCTTGTGCGAGCACCCATCCACATCCATGGATAGCAACCACCACCTTCACAGGTATGAGCGTGGAGGGGAGAAAGATACTGTGCAACTGTTTTCCCTACCACGAGGGTGTAAATCAAGAGCAAATCTCCTAAATCAATGTCATGGCTTCATACACATGGGATAAGATCCCAAGCCATATTTTCCAAAAAAAAAGCTGTTAATTTACGTCATGGTAGTTTTATACAATCTTATGAGGTCAACTCTTTGGCTTTGGATTGCTTGACTGAAGTCAACCTCTGGGAAGTACCATTAGTTTTAAAAGGAATAAAGGAGGATAAAAATGAGGGGCCAAGTGCTTTCTGCCTTTTGCAGACTGCTGTGTGTAACTAAAACACTTGCAGGCCTCCCTCCCCGCTTTCTCCTTTTGTTGGTCAACCACAAGTTGACACCACTTGAGTCTATCAGGATGCTGACCCCAGGAAGTCTGTCAGGATACCTCTGGCAACTTTTGGAAGAAGAATCAGCAGTGAAAGAGAGGATGGAGATAATGACAGGATGAGCAAGAACCTCCCTCTCATTCACTCCCCCTTCAGCCAGCCTGATCTCACTGGCAGGCTGCAGTTGTCCCCAGGAGACCACCCCTGTTGGAAGCAGCATTGCAGTGCACCCCCGGAGTCTCTCTGCCACCCACAAGGCTCTTGACTCCAGAAAAGCCTCTCCCCTTTTCCAGCAACCCTCAGACCCCACTGAGCACAGGGGAAAACACCGCTGGCTGCAGGGGAAAAGGAGGAGAAGCATGGCCCTCCTCACACCCCCCAGCCCCACGGCGTGGCCTCGCAGCTGTCAGAGCAGGGATGCCATAAGGGTAGCAGTGGGGCAGGCAGCACCAGGGTGGGGAGAGCGGTGATGCGACAAGGCTGGGGAATGCCAAGCAGGAAGCACGGCTCGCATCCCGGCTACCGCAGCAGCATCGGCTCTCAGTACCTGTGGTGGCGTTAGACTCGTAATACTGGGTACCAGGAGCCATCGCTGCTCCTGGCACCTGGACCGCTCCTACAGACACGCACGGCTGCGGCAGGGTTTGTGGGCCCGCCCTACCAGATTCTGGCAAAAAATAGATTATTTTTGTTTACCTGAGCACGTGATTACTTTTTCAGCTGCTTTTTCACTGACTTGGTTCTTAGCAACACATCTGAACATCCCAGAATAGTGTGTGTGCAATTCCGACCTTGTTACATTCTTCTGGATTATTTTTCTTTTCTCATGAATAATTTCTATGGTAAACGTCTCATCTTTAGTCTTCTGCTTCACTTCACACGTGACAGAGAGAGTTTTATTCATGCATTCACCACTGAGGACTGGCTGAGGGACAGGCTCTGAAAAAGGAGAGAAGGGACAGGCACGTGTGAGATGGTTTCTCCTTTTGATTCTCCACTGTTAAGCAGGACAGAGAATTAGCCCCCAGTAAGCAGTAAGGGAATAACACCAGCTAGTGAGACCAGAGAAGAATGAAGGGCAAATCAGACCTCTGCTACAGAATAACATGGCAGTAATAAAGGAAACGCAGTATATTAGCCTACACATCTGGCCGAGCAGAGCAGAGCTGCACCACCGTGGCTGGACCACATGCAGGCCCCAGCCTGGCTCACAGCCAGCCAGGCAGGGAGGCAAGGGGGGAAGTGGTGTTTTTGGGGGAGGCAGAGGATGTGAGAGACTCTCAACCACAGCCCCCTCCAACTCCGGCCCCAGTGTTTTGGTGGAAACGAATTCCGCTCTGACCTGCCTGTGCCCATGGGGAGAGATCTCCCCTGATGCAGACAGACGTCTCCTTACGACCCTTTATGTGCTCCCAACAGCACCCAGATAGCGCGGCAGCCACGGCATGGAAACCCATCAAAACAGGAGACAAAACACCAAACAGACACCTCAGCTCTCAGTGAGGTCACAACAGACTGATTTCTGTCTATTTTACGTCCTGCAAACTGCTAGCTACACGTTGGTTCCAGGTTTCCTACCGCTGGTGGGGCTTTCCTCAGCTGGGGGCAACTGGCAGGGACATTGGGTGGACAAAAAAGTTATCTTCTACCTTTCAAACACGCCATGCCACCGCCAGTTACAGGCAGTGGAACTTCTAAGGACCATATATTTGCAAGCCAGCGAGAGCTGCTCATAGCAAAGGCAGCATAGGATCACAGTATGACATGTGCAGCCCCCCCTTCCCTGTTAAGCCCGCTCCTCTTCGCCAAGCTGTACCCTGCCATGCAGGGGAACATCGCAGGGCGAAACACCAGGCTCCAGGTCGCAGTGACGGCCTTGTGTGATGACATCACCCAAGCTATTATTTTTTTGAACGACGGTTTGTCCAACCCCAGCAACCAAGTACAATCTGGCCAACAAATGGCTCCAGCCCCTGAGAGCGACTAGAGAACTCCACTGCCACAGCGCATTGGAGGTGAGGCAACCTCTCTGCTGCACGGGAGATGAAACATTGCAGCACATGGCTAGGTTGGAAACTTCACCTGAAACTGAACCCAGGACACCCCGATGACAGCTCAGTGCCTTAAAGCACGAGTAAATAGCATCAGGCCCTGATGACTTCCTGAATCTGCAAACAGTTTACAACAGTAATTCCTGGAGTAGTGAGACACCCTCACTGCTCAGCAGTCTGCTAGCCACGGGGCCTCTCACCGCACCGAAACCCTGCTGCAACCATTCCGGCTGCCGCTGCTGCCTCATCAAGGTGTCATAGTTCTAGTGCCAGCTGGTGCCCACAGACTCAAGATGATGGCAGAGGTGTCCACGCTGGCTGAAGATGGACAGAGTAAAATCATCTTCTTGGTGGGAAAAAACTCCTGCTGCCCTACAGCTTAGAGGTCTAGGGAGGTGGCAGCAGCCTTAAAGGAGCAGAATAGCCATCCTTCTCTTCCCTCCACATCCCAGAATCATTGGGCTGCTGCCGCTCTGATCTCTCAGGACAAGATACAGCACAGGAATGCGGGCTGCCCTCATGCATTGAACCCATGCAGCTGATATCCTCAGGCGTGTGCTTAAGTCCGCTGTGAGCAGCACCGTCTTCATACCCATTCTGTTATGCTATGCAAGGACAGGGTGCAGGAGTCTTCCTCCCCTGCAAACTCAACTCCTGTTGTGGTGTATCTCAGGGGAGGTGACTGCCAGCTATTTTTTTATGTTAGTGCAAAAACAGAGTGGGATGGCATTGCCTAAATACAGACACTTAGTGCCAGCTGGGCTCCTGACCTCTCCTCAAAAGGCTGGCAGGCACAATGCAAGGTGCTCGCCCTGCCGGAGCAATGGCTAGAGACCAAAAGTCATAACTCAGTGCCCACAAAAGAGAACTAGAAGTGCACAGTGCATCAGCCACAGGCGTACCTCATGTCGGTTGCTGCGCTCCCACGAGAGGTTTCTGGAAGCAGGGAGCTGCTGGGAGCACAGCCCTTCTCCTGTGGGGCTGCCGAGGCTCAGGGGCCAAGGGGCCCCAGCACCGTCAGCAGTGCTGCAGCGAGGCCGCCCGCACTCGCCCCGCTGCCAATATGGACGCGCTCACTTGGGCACACGCAGAAACCTGGCGGCTGGCAGAGAGGGGACCCAGAAAGAAGCAGGGGACCAGACGGCATCAGTAGGAGCAGGAGAAGGGAGGGGAGCGGCAGACTGCTGGCAGCGGCGGAAGGAAAGAGGTATGTGTCACAGAAGGCCCCCCAAAACAGAAAGGGGGGCAAGGAGTAGAAAAGGTTGTAGGAGAGAGATGGAATACCAGGTCTTATTCAGTTATGCTGGGAGTGGTGTGGGAAGAGCAAAAACTCACCCTGAACGATGAACATTTTATCTTCTTCTGCCCTCAATACTCCATTCTTTTCATACACAATCACTGTGTACTTTCCACTGTCCTCTTTAACCACCTGCTCTATTTGCAGAGTCCCATTTGGGAACACCTTGCATCTGCACTGCTCCCTGTTCACATAGTATTTAACTGCCTTATTTTTTATCTGAAGCAACTTTTTTCTGTCTTTCAGCCATGTTGCATCATAGACACTCCCAGCAGCAGCAGCGAAGCTGAGAAGAGCCGACTCGTTCACAGCCATGTAAATGGGGTTGGTGATGGAGCCTGTGAAGGGAAGCACAACCAGCTCATCAGCGTGTCTCCAGCAGCCGCCGCTGCCGTCCTCAGCAGCCACAGTGGTCGCCCAAAAGGTTGTCGCTTGCTATATCCCCCCTCCGGGTTGCCTAAGCCTCTCC